TTTTTGTTTTTGTTTTTGTTTTTACTGATGGGGTTGGGGGTGCAGCTTATAGTCCAGTGCGGCTTATATGTTGATGTTCGCGCATTTTTAAAAAAAAATTGCGGGTGCGGCTTATAGTCCGAAAAATACGGTATGCTAATCACCCCTCCTCGAGCACAAGCACCTGATACACATTCATCATGTTTACGTTCCTCATTTACACACTTTTCCTGAAGATAGAAGAGTTTGTTGAATCTGACGTGGCATGTTCGTACGAACCCTTTGTACGAACAAAAGTAAGAGAAATTTAGGATAAGAATACGAACATGTTCTTGCATGAGGCCCAATGTTCCTTGCCTAGAAGCAGTCAGACTCAGTCCAAATGAGCAACATGAGCTTGCCTTCCTGGGGGCCCCACTACCTGCAGGAAGGGCCATACAAGTTGGGTGCATGATTCCATTGGTGGTAGCCAAAGGTGGAGATCTTGATGCTCTGATCCTGGCCTGCCAAAGCTGGCTCTCGGGACATGGAGCATGACTTCTCTGGTGGGGAAGAGCCCAAGCTGGTGTGTGACATTAAAGCTGTGTTTCCATCAACTATTTTTATGCACATTTTGAAGCATCACATTAGAAAAGGTGAATGGGAACATAATTTGCAAAAACTTCCTCAATTACACAAATACGTTTTTATGCTCTGATGAGGTGGCTTTTGGATTTTCCGAAAGAGTTAAAGCACAAAAGGGGAGATGGAAACACATTTGCCGAATAAGTTCTGATGTAGCGAACATTTGCCTCCATACGCTGTTCCCGCTGTTCAATAATTGTAACTGCTGCAGATGGAGCCTCCTCTTGCTGTCAGCATCTTCCTGGATATTCCCATAACATGAAGAGAATTGCATTTCTTTTTCTGTGTCTCCAGACAGCATGTAATATCACCAGCACTAGCTGATATGACAAAATAATTACAACTTTTCTGATAGTAGCAACGCGTTCTTGATAACTTCTCTCCATTGTCCTGAGATGTGTCCCTGAGAGTTTATGACTTTACTTACTGTTTACTACAGCCACGAGTAACGACAATGTAATTACACTTTGCGTAGCCTGGTTGATTCCAAGCCAGTTGATGGAAACACGTCTGATGCACCTTTTTCTTTTTGCAACATTTTAAAAGTTTGCTCAAAATTTGCATTTAAATTGGATGGAAACACGACTTGAGAGGTACCAACTACATATAGATGGACTCACCTTGATGCACAGCTTGTTCTCCAAAACTGATCTCCTCCAGAGGGGCTGGACTTTATTCTGCTCTGGCTTTGCCCATGGTGAGAGCCACTGAACTGGTGTGGGTCTACTATATCTCGTTTAGCTTGGGAACATCTTTTAATCTTCCCAGAAGAGCTGGAAGAGGTAGCTGGGGAAAGAGGTCTGGACCCCCCTGCTCAAGCTGCTGCCCTGCGGCTCAACTTTGAATGAGAGAAAGATAATGGATGCGTGTTTACAATAGTGATGAGTCTACCTTTATTTGTTTCTGTAGGATGGATCATAGTGGAAAGCAGTGGTCAACACCTGGACTGAAGAAATGTGAGTTTGATCGTGAAATAGTTTTAGTCTCACAGACTGGCTTTTCTCTTTAACTCATCCAGTCCTGTTTCTACTTAATTTTTGATTTAATTGTTGTCTTTTTCTGCATCTTTGTCTTGACTTATTTGTCGCAACATTCCAGTGTTACCAGTCTGTGTTTTGTTAATGACTTTACAAAAGTTTGTGTACATTGTTTTGTTGTATAACATGTATATTTTTGACTCCAAGCAAAACACATTTTGTTGACTGTCTGGTGATCTGGCATCTGTTTGTGAGGTGCAGGCAGGAAAAAACCCAGGGTGCAGGCAAAAATCCAAAGTTTAACGAAAGATTTATTAATTAAACAAAAAGACCGGCAGGGCAGCTCAAAAACTCACGGGGACAGGAACACAGAGAATACCACACTGGCTGGGTAAAACAGCACAATGAACCGACACAGAGTGAGGACAAGACACCAAATATAAAGGGAAACTAATGAGGACAAATGAGAAACAACTGGAGGAGACACAAGAGGAAACAGGTGAGCATGGGCAGGGCTTTAGGGCAGAGAAACACAGGGGAACACTGAAACGCTAGAAAAACCAAGAACAAACACAGACTGTGACAGGACTCCCCCCTAACAACTGCTCCTGATGTCAAAAAAGGAGAGGCATGGGACTTGTGGAACACAAGACAGGACAGACTCAAAGACAAAAGACATAAGGTTCAGGAGGACGGCCCGAAGACCATCCAACATGGGGCAGGAGTTCAGGAGGACGGCCAGAGGATCACTCAACATGGGGCAGAGCATCTAGAGGGCGGCCAAGAGAACACCCTGGGTCCAAGGGAGTCATGGGAGCAGAGATGGAGCCAAGGGAGGAGGCGGGTGCAGACAAAGAGCCAAGGGAGGTGGAGGGAGCAGATGAAGAACCAGCAGAGGTTGACGGAGCCAGAGTGTCAACGACGGCAAACACAGGTGACAGAAGTGATGAGGAGATGATGGGTGACGACCCAGGCAATGAGGAGGCGAAGGGCAATGACCCAGGTAAAGAGGAGGCAATGGGCGACGATCCAGGCGAAGAGGAGGCAACGGCAGCCGAACTAGATGTCAGGGAGGCGCCTGCAGCCGACCCATGAACATCAAGGACCGCCGACTCGAGACTCGCCAACTCAGGAGATACCGAGACCGCCAACTCTGGAACTACCGGGCCTGGAACCACCAACTCAGGAAACTCAGGAAACACAGGAACAGATTCAGGCGGTTCAGCAGACCCAGGAGACTCAGGTGACCCAGGAACAACAGGGGTGGGAGGGTGGGCAACAGAATCATCAGACGCTGCTGCTCTCAATGGGTAGGTCCAGGGGAAGAGAGCAGACAGCCTATCCAGCTCTCTCTGCTGCTGCTTCAGCTTCTCCAACAATTCTCCAGAATTTAAACCAAAAAAAAAAATCTTGCCTGCAGGCTGGGGACTTGGTTCATTCTGTGAGGTGCAGGCAGGAAAAATCCCAGGGTGCAGGCAAAAATCCAAAGTTTAACAAAAGATTTATTATTTAAACAAAAAGGCTGACAGGGCAGCTCAAAAAATTTCATGGGGACAGGAACACAGAGAACACCACACTGGTTGGGTAAAACAGCACAATGAACCGACACAGACTGAGGACAAGACACCAAATATAAAGGGAAACTAATGAGGACAAATGAGAAACACCTGGAGGAGACACAAGAGGAAACAGGTGAGCATGGACAGAGTAGGGCAGAGAAACACAGGGGAACACTGAAATGCTAGAAAAACCAAGAAAACAAACACAGACTGTGACAATGTTCCTAAGTTTATATGATTTTAATATCTTAAACCTGCCTCTTATGTCCACTCTGTACTGACCAAAGATCTGAACAAACACAATAATAGTTTCTGCATTTTCAATTATTGGTTTTTCTGACAAACACATGGAGACAAACTGCAGATTTGTTGTGTTTCCTCAGATTTCTGTGAGCTTGAACTGAACCTGAACACAGTGAGCAGAAAACTCCGACTGTCCAACAACAACAGGAAGGTGGAGATAGTGAACCAGGAGCAGCCATATCCAGATCATCCGGACAGATTTGAATGGAGTCAGCTGCTGTGTAAGGATGGTCTCACTGGTCGCTGTTACTGGGAGGTGGAGTGGTCCGGAAGGGTCCTGGTCTCAGTGAGTTACAGAGGGATCAGGCGGAAAGGTCAAAGCAGGGACTGCTGGTTTGGAGGCAACGATCAGTCCTGGAGTCTCAGATGCTGTGATGATGTTGGCTACGCCATCTGTCACCGTAGCGTGATGGAGGTCATTGCTGTGCCCCCCGCCTGCCTCTGGCACAAAGTAGCAGTGTATCTGGACCATCCTACTGGGACTCTGTCCTTCTACAGAGTGTCCTCGGACACCCTGGTCCACCTCCACACCTTCAACACAACCTTCACTGAACCTCTGTATCCTGGGTTTGGGTTCTGGTATGACTCCTGGGTGTCTCTGTCTTCTCTGCGCAGCTCTGCTTCTTCGTCATAGTAATACCAGTTGGTGGTGTTGGATGATAGCATCTCTGTTAGCTTACTGGATGATAGCTTCTCTGTTAGGTTACTGTAGTGTTTCTCAATGCAGACGCTGTGATGATGCCAGGGGGCGTTGGCAGCAATATTTACAAGAAGGGGGCGCCATAATACGTTGGGGGG